GATTAGCACACCAACAATGCATAGAGAGCTTCATGGAATGGGTTTCCATGGCTGAGCAGCTGCATCCAAGCCTTAGATCACCAAGTGCAATGCAAAGCATCGGATGCAATGGTGTAAAGCACATCGCCACTGGACTCTAGAGCAGCGGAGACATGTTCTCTGGAGTGACTATTCCTGTTTCTCTGTCTGGCAATCCAATGGTCGTGTCTGGGTTTGGTGGTTGCCAGGAGAACAGTACTTGCCTGACTGCATTGTGCCAAGTGTAAAGTTTGGTGGAGGGGGGACTATGGTGTGTGGTTGTTTTTCAGGGGTTGGGCTTGACCCCTTAGTTTCAGTGAAGGGAACTCTTAAAGAATCAGCATACCAGCAAGACATTTTGGACAATTTCATGCTCCCAAATTTGTGGGAACAGTTTGGGGATGGCCCCTTCCTGTTCCAACATAACTGTGCTCCAGTGCACAAAGCAAGGTCATAAAGAAATGGATGAACGAGTTTGGGGTGGAGGAACTTGATTGGTCTGCACCTCAACCCAATAGAACACCTTTGGAATGAATTAGGGTGGAGACTGAAAGCTAGACCTTCTCATCTGACATCAGTGCCTGACCTCACAAATGCACTTCTGGAAGAATGGTCAAACATTCCCATAGACACACTCCTAAACCTTGTGGACAGCCTTTCCAGAACAGCTGAAGCTGTTATAGCTGCAAAGGGTGGGCCAACTCAATATTGAACCCTATGGACCTCAGACTGTGATGCCATGTTTATGTGCGTGTAAAGGCAGGCGTCCCAATACTTTTGGCAATATAGTGTATCTGTCAAATGCAGGACTCTCATTTCCTAACTTGTTCTTGCAAAATGGTAATTACTATGGGCAACCGCTTTTTTTCTTTACATCTTTTAAGTCAATCATTGTGTCCTCTGTTTTGGGGGGTAATACAGGACATTTGTCTAGGATTTCAAAACTTTTTCAAAGCTGTTCACTTATGAGGCTGTACTATGCAGTATCTGCCTGTTAGCTTATAAAAAACATACATTTTTCACTTTTGCTCTGTGTATAATTCCCTAGAAGCACAAACTAATCTCTGTAATTCTGCACAGCTGGGATAAAATAGGTTAAGCCATCATTGCAAACTTGTAGAGGCGTAAATGACGTGTGTCGTGGAAGAAAACAGTCTGGCAGCAAATCAGTTATAGTATGGATATTTTAAGAAGTCTTTCTTGAGAAAAATGAGAGATGTCTGGACTTCAGTGCTTCCAGATTAGTCAATATGGATTTAGATATCAGTAAGAAGTCCTGTGTTCAAGAAAGTTCAGGGTAATTAGACTTATCTTTTTTGATCTATGGCTCATCTTAGTCAATAGATGAGTATTATGCTGCACAGTGTGAGTGCTTATCAGTTTGTATTGATCGAGATGTCAAAGAGAAACCAGATCCAGTATGATCCATATAAAATACAGCTACATTTCCTGAAAATATTAGACAAGCCACACAGAAGCAACAGCTTCATTTTTAAAGCAAGACACACATGTATTTCAATGGAAACAAATATATCTATACAGTATATATATATTTATTTTTAAATAGTCACTTTTGTACCAGGCAGCATGCACACTAAAATGTATTATTATATGGTCACTGTTATTAGTGAACTAGGTGAATGTAGACATGAGATGATCCTTACTTTATCAAATCATATCAGTACATTATTCTATTGTGTGCATCCATTTTGTACCAGAGAAGCTGGCCTGTCTTAGAGCTAAAACTGCCTTATTAAAAAAATATTTTTTACCTTCATGCATTCTTTGCATTAAGGTAAAAACATTTCACCACTTGTTATGTACTCCTCTGCCCCTGAAAGTTACCGGTCTCCTCTCATGATCTAGCACTGTCCTGTCTGCAACCGTTCTCTGCTTTCACAGGAGACACAGACAGCAGTGAGAGCCACAGGTTCCCGCTGCTGTCAGTCAAATCTTGTGGGATAGGAGTGGGGGGGAAGAGCCACACTGTGTCTATGGATTCACACAGTCCAGCTCAGGACCGCCCCACATGGGTGCCCCCACAGCACACAGCTTGCTGAGGGGGCATCTAGAGGTGAAAGTTAGTGGACTGCACTCCTAGTAGACTTCAGAAGGGCAGGTTAGCATACCCTTTTTTTTAACTAAAAAAAAATAAGCGTTACAATCCCTTTAACTCTAGCAACAGTGCACAACCGCTGGGTTTTTAGTGCTTATTTCTTTGCAGTATTTGGATTTTTTCTTGGGATACTACCTGCATATAGTTTTTATGTTCTTCCAGTAACTTTCTGTGTTTCCATCAGATATTTTGGTTTCCTCTCACACCTTAAAATGGTATTAAAACCAAAAGTAAACATTATTACTATTATTATTATTATATTGCAGCTTACCAAGTCTTAGATTTGATGGCTGCTTTGGTTTTCTTTTTAGTCTTTCTTTTTTCATCTGGTGATCCAGCTAGTAAGACTGTTTTTTAACAGAACAAAATGTCCTGCGAATGTAGCAGTTAGAGTGTTGAGACAAACCATTTACCACTGACAGGGATGCTTACAATGATCAGTTTTTATGTATTCATGTAAAAACGTCACCCCAAAAGAAAAAAAAATTGCTGTAACTGCTTGTGTAACAACAGTGTGAGCTGGAGTTTGGCTTCAATTTGTTAGTGTATGTAAATCTGTTACCTCTAACAGTCCCCATCCCCCAGACTGACAATGTTACTGTCCAAAAGTGCCCCTGTGCTCCTTCATCCAGAGTGGAGGCACTATCACAGGAGGTGTGTTACTGGCCAGATCACCAGGCGTAAACAGGAGGAACAAAGGATTGGTATATGCTACATATTTGAATTAGGGATTAAAGTCTAAATAAAATAATATGCTTTTTTTTTTTTTATAATCCTGCCACCACTGTATGTTATGATTTTTAACTGCTTTTCACTTGAAATTCCCCAAATTACCTTTTCATTTAGTGTAAATGCATTTCCTGGTCTCACACTCTAGTGCTCCATTCTGAGCATAGCTGAGCAAAAGTCACACCATCATCACAAGAATTCTCACTTGTAGTGATGAGAGAGAACTGTGCCTCACCAGAACTGTGCATCCACATGCTACACTAGCCAGTATGATCAAACTGGTGTTTTTTGGAGTGCATTGTCATATTTAGACAGGCTATATAGCTGCTATAACAGGAAAGTGGAGATAAGGCTATAAAACCTTTAGTTGTCTGTACACCTTTTCTATTGAATATCTATTCCTCTAATGTCAATAGGACTTTAAACTATAGTGGCAGGTTCACTGGCACTTAACACAACTGTTACTAAACCCTGCATTCACTATATCTGGTCTCCCACAGTACACACAACATGGAAATGCAATTATTTTAGTAACTATAAACTGCTAAATACCTTTTCTCATTAGTAATTAGAGTAGTCTTGTGACTTCTATCAGTGTACAGCTGAGCACTGGTTAAAGATTGTAGGAGGAGTTTTCATTCTGCTCTATGCCGTCCTATGAGGCTGCATAACCCTTAGCCCTCTGTCTGGACAGTGCTGATTGGCCCCGCATTGATCATATGCTCCCAAACAGAAAAAAAAAACTCTCTAGAAACACATAGTAAACTGAGCATGTGCAGAGTGACTCCTAGAGCTCTGTACTATCAGCAGATAGATTGGGGACAGTAGAAGAAGGGGAGGATCAGAGAAGACAGGATCAAACTTCCTGTTTACACAATGCAGAGGATTAACCCTTTAGATTCCACAGTGAATATAACAAGGATGCTTTACTGCATATACAGATTGATTTTACTGTTGTGGGTTTAGTAACACTTTAATTCACTACTCAGCCATGGTCGTTACTTCAGTAAAACTGAAGGCAATTTTTTTTTATTCATTTTTGGTACAGAAAGGGAGGCTTATGACCCCTGTCAGTTCTTTGCCATCTGTGTCCCAAAGCCACAATAGGAAGCACAAGGAAAGTCCTCCAAAATGAGGAAAATCCCTGATATTAATCAGGGTCAGAAGAACTATTATCCCCATTAGAAGATTTCCTCTATAATACTGTTCTGGTGACCACTCAAAATGTGTGACTTTCTTTAATAAAAACCAGACAGATGTTCTAAGCCCTCTCCACTATCTAAAAAAAAGGGTTGCTTTTAATTGTACTTTAACCTGTTAATGCATTTTTTTTGTCCACCAATATATTTAGTAAGGTCGAATATATTTTATACGATAAAATACAGTCAAGCGGAGTTCATATTTTACATGATTTTGAGATGTGTGAATTTTTATGCTTTATGAGTGTCACCCAGTTTTTGTGGAGTGTCTTTTCATTTTCATAGACTTACTTAACCCTGTGTGCTGTACAAAGTACTTTAACTACTCAGCATTCAACAACAAGTCCTTGGTAACCCGTAGTACACAATTTAACTGGAAAATAAACCACCTCCACGCCTGTCAAGTTGGGACAAGCGGCTGTGTCCATTCATCCTCTCCATCCCCATAGACTTACATAGGCTGCCTAACCAGCTGCAAATGGTCGATTCATGATGTACAGGCCTCAGCGCCTATGTCAATGAGGCCTAAAGGTCATTTGACCAAAAGCCTAGTCATTTAGTCACATCATTTCGGTGCTGATGGGGAGGGTCAGCCAAATTGAACACTGATTCTTCCATTAATCTTGGATCATTTGAAGAGTACCTAGATTTTTGGTCATGTAACCAGGAAAGGGAGAGCTTGGGCAACTTTATTCTGTAGGATAGGTTAGTTTTTCAGTCTTTTTTTTCTTCTTTAGATATCAATTTCAGTAACAATATTAACACAGAGGTAAGTTAACATTTGCATATAGGTCTGCTCTAAAACCAATGGCATGGCTTTAACTGTTTATGTAGGTTTGCACAGCGTCTATATGCTCCGTACATCACACCCGTATGATGCCATGTTTAGGTTATATACATTTATTTTATCATCACAGCTCACCTATGGTTCTCCTCACCTGTTCACAAATAGAACGGAATCCTAAATCGTCTAATCTGTCCAGCTCAAAGGTTTCTCCTAGCAAAGGATTAAATGGTTTTGCTGTCCGATGGACTGTGGTGGAATAGGAAGACACAGAAAAGGCTGCAACAAAGCACATCTGTTCTATGGGGTTCTCACATTTCGCTGCCTTGTCCAACAGCTCATGGTACTCCAGGTCTTCAGTTAGCCTCTGCAGCATGGACAGTGGCTCATTAAAATTCACCTATGAAAAGCAGGAAGCAGGGAAAAGGTTAGTCACAAGATTTCAACATTTGAAAAAAAAGAATACATGAACATTTAGTAGTCAAACTCTATTTTTGGATACCATCATCTCATATTATATAGTTACAAACGTAAAATACAAATAAAGGGATTTTCGGGTATGTAAATTTACTTTTAATGCCAAAAAAGTTACATTTTATTACATAGCAAATTGTTAAATATCAACTGTACAGGGAAGTCAAACTATATATTTTACAGAAATAGATTAAGTTTACTGCAGTGCAGTCTGATAGCTGGACGGTGTCTGAAAGGTTAATCAAAAAGTAGGGATGCCCCAATACCGATATCGGCGCCGATACTAAGCATTTGAAGGAGTACTTGTTCTCATGCAAATGCTCTGATCCCTGAAACTAATACCTTTGAGGTGCGATCTGAGTCCATACAAAATGAATGGGCTCAAATTGCATTGCAAATAAACGCATGTAATTTGAACATGAATGATGTGCTATTCCTGTCCGAATCACATACGGTTACATTTTGTATGGGCTCAAATTGCATCGAAAAGGTATCAGTAATCAGAATTGGTGAGTACTTAGCACAAATATTGGTACTCGTATTCATTGTATGAACAAAACAGTATTGGTGCAACCCTATCAGAAAGGATACTAAGAGACATTCCTACAGCCAATAGTTAAAGTGACATGAAATATGAACAAAGCATAATCCTCGATACCAGTGGTACTGAATTAAAATTCACGGGGGTCCGTTCAGTAAAAGTTTCTTCCAGATGAGGTAAAAGTGTCATGTTGGTGCTATGACTCAGATCCTTCACATCATGGTCTCCTGTGCACATCACAGTTCCTCCCTCCACCCCCATCCCCCCCCCCCTTTTACATCACAGACCGCCCCATGACAGACCCCCTACCCCCATCACTGGCATCCCATCACAGACCCCCTTCCCCCATCACCAACTGCTCCATCACAGACCGCCCCATCACAGACCCCTCATTACAGACCTTGCTCATCACAGATCCCGTCCATGAAAGACCCTCCAGCACAGAGCCCCTCCATCATAGATCCCCCATCAAAAATTCCCTCATCACAGATCCCCCTCATCATAGATCCCCTTCATCACAGATCCCCTCACCACAGATCCCCCTCATCACAGATCCCCCTCATCACAGACCACCTTCATCACAGATCCCCCTCACCACAGATCCCCTCATCTCAGATCCCCCTCATCACAGATCTCCTCTTCACAGACCCCCCTCATCTCAGATCTCCTCTTCACAGACCCCCCTCATCACAGATCCCCTCACGACAGATCCCCCTCATCACAGATCCCCCTCATCACAGACCACCTTCATCACAGATCCCCCTCACCACAGATCTCCTTCATCACAGATCCCCTTCATCACATACCCAACCCGATCACAAATCCCCTCATTACAGATCCCCTTCATCACATACCCACCCCAATCAGAGACCCCTCATCTCAGATCCCTTGGTCGTCGCACACTTTTCCAACATGACAATGATCCAAAACACACATCTAAGGCCACTGTTGCATTTCTGAAGAAGAAAGTGGTGAAGTATGTCTCCTGATCACCCAATCAAAACACCCATGGGGAATTCTGAAGAGAGAAGTTAAGCGTCACTCTCCATCCAGCATCCAGGCTCTAAAAGAAATTGTTCTTGAAGAATGGAAAAAGATTTATGTTGCAATATGTCATCAGCTTGTTCATTCCATGCCTAAAAGACTTGGCGCTGTCTTTACAAATCATGGAGGTCATACAAAATACTAGATGGAGTAGTTTTTGTTGTGGGATGTTTTAATTTTTGCATAAACTAATTTGAGTAAAATTGAAAATTTTCTAATATATATTATATTAACCTTACTATCATGTAATGAGCTAAACAAATGTTCTATAAAACTCAGTTTTGTCAAAATTGTGTAACTTGTTCTTGCGTTCATTGAGATATTGATTAAAATCTTACTTTTCAAAAGGGGTGTATTCATTTATGCTGAGTACTGTATATATCTAAGTATACAGACTGATATCAGTACACAAAACCCATTAGGTAACCTATATTAAAACATGGCACAGGTATTTAGACAAGGGGTCATCAATTCCACCCCCTACCGATTTAGATTGGTATAGGAAGGTGCACACATACCAGAATAGTAGCAATATGGATTCAGACTGTCAGTAATACACAACAAACCAAGTAACCTAGATATTGTAATTATGGATATTACTCCAAAAAGTCAGTGGTATCTTATCATCAAGAAGGGGGAAATAAGCAAAGTCAACTTTTAATGATCCACAGAAAGATGAACATATGTAACTCAAACATTTCATGTACTGTACAAAGCAATGTCATTTGTAATGTCTACACAGAGTAATCAGTGCCTAAATCAGAATATATCATTGAGGAGCAGGTAAGGCCTAGCTGAGACCAAACTGAAGGTTAAGCTTGGTCAAGGGATAATCCATAAATTCTTGATGTTAGGCAGGTGCATTTTACAATAATGGAACCCAAAAATGATCAACAAAATCCGTGGGTTTAGATAGTTTCTTTGTATCAGACAGATGCAAGAAGACCATTATATGTATTATAAATCCTCAAATAAGGGAACAGTCTAAAGCCCAGTACACACTATAAAAAAATTGGATGAACGATCGTCCGGTTTTCCTCGATGTTTCCCAGCAGGTTGAAACCGAGCATGTTCTGATCAAGCGCAGTCTTTCACATCTGATTTTTCTCATACGAAAACGGTACAAAAACAGTACACAATAAATGGAAATCGCTAGTTCTGTTCACGTACAAGAACAATTTTGGAGTTTGTCCCTTTGGAAATTTTCATTTGTAAAGTCTGAATCGGATGTTGAAAGCTGTGTACACACTATACGAAATTCGAGCAATCATACAGAATATTTCTTCAAATTTTCTCATAGTGTGTAACCCACTTTTGACATGGCTTTGAACAAGTCTAAAGACCATCCACATATAATTTCTCCTACATGACCACAAAGTTGTAAATGTATAGATAGAGGTATTATGTACAGTATATACCGAAGTAGATAATGGAATATATATATATATCATATTATAGATATAATATTATTTCTTCCTTTGGCATGCAGGCACATGAAACTACAATCCTCAAATGCTCCAGCCAGAACTGAATGAATCAGAAGTCCATTCATACAGATGCTGATAATGGCCACTAGTATGCTCCAACTTGTAAATGGATCATTGAATTTTCAATATATATATAGGGGTTAGACAAAAAATGGAAACACTACATGATTTGAAGGTGTGACAGTGACGACATATTTTGCACTGAAAGCGGAAGTGATGTAACATTCTTTTGCTTCTGCTGTGTGATGGGACACCTAGTGAACAGGGCCTCATGTTTCACTGCCATTACAGTGGCTTACTCAAGTGGGAGTGGTCACAGTATGATTGGCACACTGTTTTTTCCATAGATTTCAGTAAATTACAAGCACCCCTGGCAATAGGAGCTATATTTTTTTAAAGATATGATAAGGCAATTCCTAGCCTAAAGGAAAGTAGACATTGCAGCTATTCTCATTACAAAACTCTAGTGATAATTACGATCTTATTACGATTATCTGGGAATAATAGAAACAGACCATATAATGGTACCAGGACATGGTAAGGCAAGCATTATTTACTTATAAGAGGAGTATGACCAAAGCTTTTCTGGTAGGTGATAGATATCTGATAGGTGCTAAAGCCCTCCCTTACAATATCCAAAATTAAAATGTTTTGCCTATAGTTACCCCATACTTCTCCTTTAAGAACAAAAATAGGTATGAATATGTTAAACAGTGTGCCTAATAAAATGTGAGTTACACTTTAAAACACTGCTTTATCTTATCTGCAAAAATTTGAACTGAAAAAATAAAACAAAAATACTCAGGCGCCTGTGATACAAATGAAGAATGTATTTGTTTTATGTGGAACACCTGATCCCATCTTACCCTTTAAAATTCTGGAGCTATAAAAAAGCCACCTTATATTGTGTCTATGTGATTTACAACTTCTGCAGCCAATGAACCTTTCTATGTCTGTTCTAACACCCTTGTTCCATAGCAATCACTTATTTTTAAAATGATTGCATGAGTCACTTAACATGATTGACACCAGATCTAGCACGTCAGGCATAGCCTTAGGTCCTCTACTAACACATTCTAAATCTTCCTATTTAATTATTACATTGAAAACTGGTGTTTGCACCATCTTTATTTTTAGCATATGGCATAAATTATTTCACTCCACCACTGTTATTTCAAAGTCTGGTTTCTTCATATGACCAGAGGACGCCCTGTATCTTCATTAGAAATCAGCTAGGTATATGATGTAATCAGTGCTGAAACATGGTTTGCAGGTGCTGCAATACAGCTTTTGTTGTGTAACATTTCACAGTCCTGATTCTAGTATTATTGGTAAAGGATAACTAAACCCAAGAACAACAAAACAATAAACAACAAAACAATATACACTGCTCAAAAAAATTAAAGGAACACTTTGAAAACACATCAGATCTCAATGGGGAAAACTATCATGTTGGATATCTATACTGATATGGACTGGGTAATGTGCTAGAAATGTCAGGATGCCCCATCGTTTGATGGAAATGAAAATTATCAACCTACAGAGGACTGAAAACAAAAACAATGTTTCTAATGAGATGATGAATGGTGTTCTGGGGTATTTCCTCCCAGATCCAGACGAAGGCATCACTGAGCACATGGACAGTCTGAGGTGCAACCTGGTGGTGGTGGATGGACCGAAAACATGATATCCCAGAGGTGTTCTATTGGATTTAGGCCAGACGAGCATGGGGACCATTCAATGGTATCAATTCCTTCATCCTCCAGGAACTGCCTGCATACTCTCGCCACATGAGGCCAGGCATTGTTGTGCACCATATGAAACCCTGGGACCACTGCACCAGCGTTGGGTCTG